ATCAAAAAGTTTATTATTAAAATAGATACAGTATATACAAAATACAGTTGCTGTGCTACTTGTGGATTATATAGTTTTGTTTCTGTTTACTATGTGGTGACTCAGAACAGGACAATTCTGAGTAGCCTCTGCTGACAGACTACATAAAGCACTGGAAATGTTTCAAAAAATTTTCCAAGCCAGTTAGGTACAGGATGTTCAGCAGAAATCTTCTCCATTAAGAAGACCCTGAACTGGTAATCTAATATTTTCACAGAATAGGCTGATGGCTGACTAGCCTAGTAAGAGCATAACGTTCCATTATTCATGTAATAATGTACATAAGTGTGACAGATAGTTATATTCCAGCCAGGCAGAATTTTAATATCGAATATGCAAGTTCTACTATCTACACAATATCTTCTTTTGTGCTGCTTTACATTATGGATCAGACACCATCGATGCACAGTCATACCTGTTTTGAATTGAGAGCAGTCTGTCATAGGAAGTGTTCTCACTGGAGCTGGGCAAATACTACCAAATATAACGGTGGAGATTTGTTTGAATATAAAATCATGAATTCACTTCAGAGCTCACGACCCGTTTTATTTGTCTATACAAACATGAGAGCCATTTTTGCAAGAAGTTTTGCATTTCTTCAGAAAGCAAAGGCCTCCCAAGTAGAACGGGGCAAAAAATAATAATAATTCAGGGAATAGTAAATTTGCCAAAAAATGCATGTTGAGGGGCACTAAAACTATTACTTGCGTTGAATTTGATGAACAGGTTTGGCTGAACGAACCCTGAAAAAATATTCATTTTTTTTAAACTATCCCTTTTGCCATTTTGTTTCAAAACAACATTTGCAAAATGAAATGACAGTCTAAATATTTTGTTCAACCCACACACAGTGTTTTTTGTTTTGTTTTGTTTCAGTGAGAATTCACTTTGTTTGAAACTAACCAAATTTTTTTTTCAGATTTTTCGGTTTAGACACTGAACCAAAAAATCAATTATTCACTTAACTCTACTCACAAATATGTGTACAAATGCATTTGCACAGTGCTATAGTCTAAGGGTGGGATCCACAAAGGGACTTAGGCTTTGCAAAACTGAACATCATGGTGCCTAACTTTTAGATACCTAGAAAAATCACAGGAACAACAAAGCTGAGTTAGGTGCCTAGGCTCCCTATACAATGAATGGAGAGAGACAGGCACTTTGCAATGGAATCCACAAAAGCCACCAATGCTAGACAGGGAGCCACCTAAGCTAGGTAATAATGGGACACCGATCAGAGGAGTGTGTGCTAAGCCCGTCTCCTCTCTCAGAGATAGGCATCTAGCTCTACTCAGCAATTCACAAACAGGAACCCAATAACTATAGGGTGGCCTTTAGGGTCAGGCAGCTTAGGTGGCTAAGGCATTTCTTGCAGGAATGAGTTAGGCACCTGCCTCCACACAAAATGGCTGGCGGAGGAGGTGGTGCTGCCGCCCACGTTAGAACCTTTAACCCAGTGGTTAGAGCACTCACATGGGATGTGGGGAGACCTAGGTTCAATTCCTCCCTCTCTTCCAGAGGGGGAACAATTTGAACAGGGATCTCCCACCCCTTAGGAGGGTGCTCTAAGCATGAGATATGGGATATTCTGACATGGGGCTCCTTCAGTCTCTTCTGTTGAAGCTGTTCCACTGGGGATAAATAATGAAAGAGTGATCAGAGCAGGGGGTCTGGCCTCTGGTTCTCCCATGTCCCAGAAGCATGCCCTAACCACCAGGCTAGGGAGTCATTCTCTCGCTCTCTAGCCCAACGACTGTTACAATGTAGGTAAACCATTAAATAGTTATTGGGCTAGAGAGACCAATGGGACCAGTAGACACGCTCAGAGGCTGCCTCTCAGATTGGGCCCTGCACATGAGATAGGCAACTGAATGCCTATCCTCTCTCAGTTCGTGATTCACTCTGGGGCTTAGGTGAGAGATAGGCATCTGGATTCGGGACACCTAGGGTGAGGCAATGGTGCTTGTGCTCAGAGGCAGTAACGTAGGCACCTAAGGAACTTCTACCCTGAAAACTTTGGTGCCAAGTGAGTTTAGCACCTTCAGGGTTTGGAAGGAGTTTTGTGGATCACAGTGGAGTGAAAACTGGGATTTTGGCACCTAACCCTGAGACTTAGGTGCCTAAGTCTGGGGTTTAGGCACTTAAGTACCTTTTGGATCCCACCATAAGTGTTCAAGGCCCTCTTGAAATCTCTTTAATTTCTTTTTTCCTGTTTCTAAGATACCCAGGGACGCAGCGGAAGGTAGCTGCTTAACAGCGTGAAAAACTAGTAACGAGGAGTTGAAGACATTGATGAAGCAAATAGCTCATAAACAACCCATAGGCTGAAATTTCTTCATATTTGTTCGTGGGTTGTACAGTTTCAAATCATTAACACATTTTCAAAATCAAAGTCTACTCAAAGCTAATTTATGAGCAGGAGAAGAAAGGGCTAACTTTCTACTATTATTTGGTACAAGTAGATTAACAGAGTTTAAGGACAGACTGGACTATTATAATCATCTAGTCTGACCTCCTGTGTAGTACAGGCCACTGCATTGCACCCAGTGATGTCTGCATCTAGCCTACTGACTTGTAGTTCAGCTAGAGCATATCCTTTAGAGCAGGGGTCCCAAGCTGCCCACCCCCCTTCCCGCTTCCCCCCCCTCCCAGCGCACCGCGTCCCCGCTCCTCTGCCTACCTCCAGGCGCTTCCCGACGCTAAACAGCTGTTTGCCGGCGCTTAGCGCTTTCCAGGAGGGAGGGGGAGGAGCGGGGAGCCCCATGCTCAGGGGAGGAGGCGGAGAAGAGGCGGGGCTGGGGCGGGGATTTGGGGAAGGGGTTGGAATGGGGGCGGGGAAGGGGTGGCAAGAGGTGGGGCAGGGGTGGGGCCTCATGGAAGGGGTGGAGTGGGGGCGGGGCAGGCTTTTGTATCTTTATATGAAAAGGTGTCAGTGATGCGGCCCTTGGGCCAATGTATTAGTCCTCATGTGGCCCTCATGGTGATTCGAGTTTGAGATCCCTGCTTTAGAGTTTGCACAGCTCTAATTCTGGTCATGTGCAAGTGAGCTAAAAGTTTTCTTGGCATAAAATCATAGAAATGTAGGGCTGGAAGGGAACTCGAAAATGATTTACCTTAATGGCAGGACCAGCGCTTCCCAGACCTAGGCCCAGCCTGCATACACGACACACCCAAAGCTCACACTCCGGTCAACAGGGACTTTTCTATGTACCAGGTTTGCCAGATCAGGGCCTCTGGAGCTCATCACCGCCACTGGCAAAAGCACACCTGGGGCTGAAAGGAAACTCATTTCTAAATTATATCGGATAGCTGTTCTTCATGCAGAAAGTATGTTTCCAATTCACCACTGCTCCACAGCGTTCTCCCCATTCCCTGACTAGTTAAAGTGAGTCAATCTGTAATCTTTGCTTTTGCTGTATGTAAATTAATATGCCAAGCATATCCTAACTACCACACCCTCTGATTGCGCCACAAAGAAATCAGCAATCGTTCAAATGACATTCCTTTATTAATAGAATGGTTTAATAGACCAAAACCAAAATGGATTAAAGGAATGTTTGTCCATTAAAGTGGCCAGAAACAGTAAATATTGGCTACAGATGTCATCAAGATTTCATTTAACAAAAATTAAATATGGCCCATGGCAAAACAAGCAACCTCCAGAAATGTATTGTTGGGCTGCTAATAGAAATGATTTACACTTTATGAAAACAAAAGTCTTGGCAAAGCCAGTTTTAACTTAGTTAATCACTGTTTTGATTCTATGTTAACTGCCCGTAGCTCCCTCCCTAGATGTTGTATACAAGCCTGCCATTAACATGGTAAAAAAACAAATGAGTGTTCAAGAAACTAATGGTCCCTAATGGAGCTGAGAACACCCTTTTAACAAAGTCCAGCGGGGCTATTAGTGTACAAGTCATTTTCTCTCATTCAAGATAAAAGGATGTGTTTACCAGCTATAGTATCAGGGGGTAGCCGTGTTAGTCTGTATCTACAAAAACAACAAGGAGTCTGGTGGCACCTTAAAGACTAACAGATTTATTTGGGCATAAACTTTCGTGGGTAAAAACCTCACTTCTTTGGATGCATAGCTATGCATTCCTATGCATCCGAAGAAGTGAGGTTTTTACCCACGAAAGCTTATGCCCAAATAAATCTGTTAGTCTTTAAGGTGCCACCAGACTCCTTGTTGTTTTTACCAGCTATAGTATGTCTGCATTGATTGAACCACACATCTCTCACATTAACTTAGTTAAGACCACTTAAAGAAAATAAAGCACTGGTGTGAAAATAAACATTTTATAGGAGACTATTTCCTTCTGGAAGCACTGTGTGCTAACTTTGAGATCCCACTGTTATAATTAAACCATGGCAAATATCTATGTGAAGAAATCTTCTCACGGTATCAAACTCCACTTACCAAATGGAAAGTAGTATGTCTGATCTTACAGCTGGTACAAGGCAGACTCTCAAAATAAATCCAACTCTGTTAAGTCATTATGATAAACAAAGAAATCCCACCTAATTAAAACAAATACTCGATTAACAACTTGACTTCACAAAAGGACAGATTTACTCTATACCAAGGCACTTGCTTAAGAGGTCTCTGCTGCATTTTCTTAAAGAACCATACAGTATATAATGTATGCTTTTGTTTCAGTTTGTAAATAGGCGTTACTAATGTTAAAGTTTGCTCATACAATCAGGGCCAGCTCCAGCATTTTTGCCGACCCAAGCGGCGGAAAAAAAAAAAAAGCCGTGATCGGCGGCACTTTGGCGGCAGCTCTACCGCTGCCACATTGTTCTTCGGCGGCAATTTGGCTGCAGGTCCTTCCCTCTGAGAATGAGAGAGGGACCCGCCACCAAATTGCCGCCGAAGAGCCGGACGTGCTGTCCCTCTCCGTTGGCCGCCCCAAGCACCTGCTTGCTGCGCTGGTGCCTGGAGCCGCCCCTACATACAATCACACATTGCTTTGCTGTAACAATATTGTTCTCAGTCCTCTCTCTCTTTCATCTTCCTGTCTGTATCTCTCTTCTAGTTTCTGTTTTTCAGAGTCCATGCTATAAAAAGTAGAGTCTACACTTCTTCTGATTTGCTCAAACTGACTAAAATCAGCAACATATTTTCCATTTCGAGAGAGAGAAACCACAGGCACAAACTCATAACCCCAGTGGATCTCCTCTGGTATATAAGAAGTTCTGCTTTGGCAGACGGCACTAGTGGATTCTACTGTGGCATTCAAGAGGACAACCAGTTCAAAATCCTTTTCTTTTAGGTTTTGGGGTGTGAGATCTCTTAAAGGGCTACTGTCATCCAATAAATGGTAAAAGGTTAAAGGTAAAATCAGAAAAGGACTTTCTGAAGAGGAGTCAACATGGAATTTGACACTGGCTTGGTTGAGCAGGATCCTCTCCCCTTCTTTGGTTTCATAGGTTTGAAGAAGTTTCCCAGACAGCTGACACTGAATCAGAAGACTCTTCCTCATATTTGCCACTCTGATCACAAGGCAAAGCTCTCCGTTGTGTTTGGTAATTACAGCACAATGACTGAACTTAATAGTCTCAGCCCGTTTTTTGGGTCTTGCAATTTTGGCCAAGAAGGTACCAGTGATAAAGATTTCAATCAAGGTTGTGATGACCAGCTGAGCAACCAGGAGGAATATGGCATGAGGGCACTCCTCTGTGATGAAACGAAAGCCATAACCAATAGTTGTCTGGGACTCCAAAGAAAAGAGAAATGCCCCAGTTAGTGAATTTACTTCCTTGACACAAGGCATATGTTTGGGGGGGAAATGATCCCTTTCTAAATCTCCATGAAGAAATGCAATGGCATAATAGATAACTCCAAAGAGGAACCAGGTCATCACAAAAGTAGCAGCAAACAGGGTAAGTTTGTATCTCCATTTCATGTCTATAACCGTTGTCCACAAATCTTGAAGGTAAAGCAGGTATATACCATCTACTTTGTCAATCCTCACATTGCTGTGACCACTTTTGGACATCACCCGGGGTCTGTGTGTCTTGAGGTCAGCGCTGATGATACCGTTAACGAGTGGGGCACTTGACGTATTGATTTGAGTGGTGCCCATTTTCAGTTCCTTAATTCTAAGAAGAGAAAAAAAGAATTCAGTTACTTAACAAAGTCAAAGTACATGAGCCTTAAAAATCGTTTGAAAAACACAGAAGGACAGAAGGTACACAATCATGACCGCATTACATATGTATAATAAAGGAATGCCCCTGGAACAAAAAGCTACCATCATATAGTGTCTGATATTAAAGCTAGTTGACTTTTTTTTTACTTTCATGACTGCCATATAAGGAGAAATGGACTATCTTATGGTATCTTGGAAAAGAAATTTGACCAAGCTAAAATCCTATGTTAGTACTGTGTTTTTTAAAAAGGCATGAGGTAAAATTCTTCTCATATATTGTCGAGAAAGCAGGAGAGACTTGTTTTAACTACTACATTTATTCCCACTCGTGCACTCAGGAGAAGGATTTCATTAAAATTAAACACATTTTGATGCTTGATTTAGAATGCCGGACCACCTTTGTCTCGCAAAACAACACAGTCAAAATAAGCAAAACAAATTTTGTTCATGGCTAATTAACTTCCATAAGTGATTTAATCAATCATTTCTAGCTCTTCCCTAAACATATAACTAAACTACAGGGAAACAGCATAGTCCTGTGAACACACAAAGGAGAGTTTTGGAAAGAAATATTTGCACCTGAAAACTCTTCAAGGCTCTTTGTAACATATAGCACTCCAATTTCAAAACAGTCAGTGGAAAACAGGAGGCAATTCACAAATTCAGCATTCTAGCATTAGGCCCTGACCTGTGCAAACACAGGAATCAATGGAGCACAAAACTCAAGAAGTTTGTTTACTGTGAACCAAGTTCAGTCCAGATGGAGATTAAGTGGGAGTACATTCAGGACAGAACAAAACCCACAAAGTGAAGGAGAAGGTTGTCTGTGCCAGTTTGATGAGGCAAATAAAGAAACACAGCTTCCAGGACAAGACAGTGGTTGCGTAGTGCAAGGACAGGGGATGTTATAGTAGTAGTTTCCAATAACAAAACTTCCTGCTCTAAAAAAAGCTCACTGTGCATCCTTTGTGCTTTTGGCAGTTCATACAACAAACATTGGTTTGTTCCATTGTTTTGCTTAAAAAGAAGCTTTAATAAGTGTTTCTTTTTTATGAACCACAGGAAAAAAAAGTTCTCCCTTGTAACTACTTAAAAGAAACTCACAGGAAACTCAAGACCTATTTGTGGTGGGGGGGTGTGCCTGCCCAGGACAACAACATAATTGTTCAGTGTTGTAACTTTCCTGTTATGTCAATAAAAGAGAGCTTTGTTTACTAAATACACTGATAACCAAATTACTGTTTTTCAGGGGGAAAGTAATTGCAATTTTATTTGTATTGTCACACTGTAATTCATTCAGATTTTGTTTTAATCGTTAAAGCTCATTTTCCTTATTTTAGGCTCAGTTTTAAAATATTAAAAAAAATATAGGACTGCGCTGGTGATCCCAGTAGGAGACCTTTTATGTGACAATCAAACCACCACACACACTGTGCAGCATGTCCAGATAAACAGAAAAAAAAAAAAAAAAAGACCAAGTGATCTTAAAAAGAACTACAGGAGGAAGCAGAAAAAGCAAAATAAAACACAGCAGCATATGAGCAACTGCTGTTTAGACAAGCCCAGAATTCAAATGGTGCTGCCAGAGAAAATATAGCTTATGTAAGTATATGCAACATGCAATGTAAAACTCATTAGGAAAAAATGCATGCCATACAGTCAAGAGGCTCCATTGCCCACATCAAGCATTACCATGATAAGATATTGATATAAAAAGTGCCTAAAATCTGTCCTAATATCAATCCTATCTCCTCTAAAGCTCACTTCTCCGTAGTCTCTGCTTCCATTCATGAGAAGTGATGGGTTACAATTAGTTCTCTGCCACAAGTAGCTTTAATCCGCTAAAGGCCAAATTGTACCTGGACTTTGAGGCCATGCAGCAGGGTAAGGGCCAGCCCCACTCCCCTGTGCAGCCTACCAGCATTGCTGCTTTGTGTGCAGGGGGCAGAGCAGGCTCCCCAGAGCTGCTACCTCCTCCCAGTTGTACAGTTGTGTGAGGCGTGGGTGGAGAGAGCCAAGGACCTGCCCTCTTCCCTCAGTGCACCAGTTAGTGGAGTTGAGCTGTTGGGGGATGGAGAATGCTGGGCCTGTGAGGTGGGAGGGTCCCAGAGCTCGGGCATCTACACCGCAATTAAACAGCCCCTTTGCCTAAGTCCCGGGAGCCCAGTGTAAACATACCCTAATGGGCTATAGCAAAACAGTCTCCTCCAAGAGAGCAGGGAGGAGCCAGGGAAGGAACTGTGATTCTAAGGCATGATTCTTTCTCAGAGTTGCTCGTGGCATGGAAGAGTTACAACATGTGCTGCCTCTTCCAAAGACATCAGATTTCAGTTTAGCTGTAAGTGACCTACAGAATGTTCCAAGTAACCTCCCATTCACCCCTTTACTCAAGCAATCTGCCATTCTAACCCCGACATCCCCAGCCTTTTCTCCACTTCTGTGGTGGGGACTTACACATCTGTAGGTTGCTGGATCTCCCTTAGCTTAAATACGAATTATAATGGCTTCATTCTGGTTTTTGCTAGGCTCCTCTCTTGATTTGTATTTCTATATTATCTCAAGGCTCTCAGCTCTTCAGATACTTCCTTTGGTATTCTGGAATGGATCCCATCTGATCCTGGACTTTTTTCTGACTTCCTGCATTTTCCCTGTTACATCATCTATTCCTGCACAATTTTGAATTCCTTTAGTATATTTCTTCCTCTCACGGGAAATTCATGTTGGTTTTGTCTCACTGTAAAAGTACTTCCTCTGTTTGGTGTCATCCTAGCTGCATGAATAGTGGAACAGAAGCATTGCCATACTGTATCAGACTAGCAGCCCATCTAATCCAGTGCCAGATGCTTCAGAGGAATGAACCCTTTAGTAACCAGTTATGGGATAACCTGCACCTAAGGTAAGTTTTCTCCAAACCCAAATAGTTAGAGATTGGCTTATACCCTGAAGCTTGAAGGGTTTTATCCCTTCCAAAGCTCTTGGTTTTTAAAACGTTCTCTATTTTAACAGGATAGTCTTGTTACTCAGATAAATATTGAATCCCTTTTTGGACCTGCTAAACTCTTGGCCTCTGTGATATCTTGCGGCAATGAGTTCCACAGGCTCACGGTGAGCTGCCTGGATAAGTATTTCCTTTCTGTATTTGCCACTTTCCAATGTCATTGAATGTCCCCTTGTTCTTGTGGAGATTAGAGAGAAAGACTGAACAGAAGTTGCCAATCAACCTTCCCTAAATCATTCATTATTTCATATACTTTTACCTGATCCCCTCTTAGTCAGATCCTCTCTAAAGTTAACAATCCCAATCTTTTCAGTCTCTCTTCATATGAGAGCTTTTCCAAGCCCTGAATAGTTTTCATCACTGGTCTCTGAACCCCCTCTAATTTGGAAAATATCCTTTCTGAGATGAGGTAACCAATACAGTATCCCAAATGAGGGCAAGTCATTGAGTTATATAATGTCATTATATTTTCCTTAATATTCTCCATCTCATTCCCTATGCATCTTTATATACAGGCACCTTAAAAGATTTCTACAGGGTGACTTCCTTACATTTGGAATTTTTTAGTTCTGTCTTGATTCCCTGCCCAGCTTTTATTCTACTTCTTTTCCTTTCAATTTTTTCCTGAATCAGCAAACATTCCTAAAACAACAAATTTACATTTTTCAAAGAAACATTCCCAATAACAATAACATGTGCTAGTTGTAAGGGAGCAAACTAGTTGATTTATACTGAAGTGAAAACTACCAAAATTTAGCCAAAATACCCTGTTAAAAAAGAAACCAAACCCCACCCCAATTCTAACTACAGAATTAATTGATAGCTTAAAGAAACAGTAGCATAATAAGGGAAGGGAAGGAGGAGTCTGAGATTTATATTGTACTGTCATGCCCAACAGTTAGCCCCTCCAGATTTCTGGTAAGAACTCTGGATCCACCAGAAGAGAGATTCCCCACCAGAGTGCGTACTGGTAAAGGACTTGAATGCACACAAGATCAAGAAAGCTTAGAGTTATGTACCAAACCACTGACAATCAGTATCTTGATGTTAACACTGACTCCAAGGGCCACATTATCAAAGAGCTGAGACCCACTTGCATACACACTAATGTCCACACCGTGCAACTAGAGCTGCTTCTTTAGGACCTACTTGAGCCTACACAAATCAATTAAAGAAGACAAAAGCATTATTTGGTCAAATGGCCTCAAATGCCTCCTTTCTTATCCATCGGATTTGCTTTGCCAATGGAGCCTCCCCCACTCTCCTCTTGGATATAAATGGCTAAAACTCACATTGCTCTTTTAGCCATTGTAAGCTACCAGCATTTGAAAAAAAGAAAACAAACCTTTTTCGTCTTGAGATCTTTGATAGGTCACACATAGGGTTGCCTGGCATCCAGCCAACCCCGGTCGAAAAGGGACTCTGGGGACTCTGGTTGGCACCGCCAACCAGGCCATGAAAAGTCTGTTCGGCGGCGCAGCAGGGACCCGGGGCTAACGCAGGCTCCCTACCTGCTCTGGCTCTGTGTTGCTCCTGGAAGCGGCTGCCAGGTCCCCGCGGCCCCTAGGCGCTGGGTCAGAGAGGGACTGGAAGACTCTATGTGCTGCCCCTGCCCCAAATGCCGGCTCCACAGCTCCCATTGGCTGGGAACCGCAACCAATTTGAGCTGGGGGCAGGCAGCGCCTGCAGGAACGAAGACACCGCAAAGACCTGTCTGGCTGCCTGTGTGCCTAGAGGCCGCAGGGACCTGGTGGCCACTTTTTTCTCTGAACCAATGTAAGTGATGCCAGGACCCCATAACCCCGCCCGCACCCCAAACCCCTCATCCCTGGCCCCATCCCCAGCCAGAGCCCTCACCCCCCCACACACTCTAACCCCCTGCCCTAGCCTGGAGTCCCCTTCCACACCTCAAATCCCTCATCCCTGGCCCCACCCCAGAGCCTACACCCTCAGTTGGAGCCCTCACCCCCTCCTGCACCCCAACCCCCTGCCCCAACCGGGAGCCCCCTCCTGCACCCCAAACCCCTCATCCCCAGACCCATCCCAGAGCCCGCACCCCCAGCTGGAGCCCTCACCCCCCCGCACCCTAACCCCCTGCCCTAGCCCAGAGTCCCCTTCCACACCCCAAACTCCTTGGACTGAGGTGGAGATGGACATAGGAGACGGAAGTGTTGAGAGTCTCTGTGTTAGCCTAAAAGGAGTAAAAAACAAGGGTGATGTCATGCTAGGAGTCTACTACAGGCCACCTAACCAGGTGGAAGAGGTGGATGAGGCTTTTTTTAAACAACTAACAAAATCATCCAAAGCCCAAGATTTGGTGGTGATGGGGGACTTCAACTATCCAGATATATGTTGGAAAAATAACACAGCGGGGCACAGACTATCCAATAGGTTCTTGGACTGCATTGCAGACAACTTTTTATTTCAGAAGGTTGAAAAAGCTACTAGGGGGGAAGCTGTTCTAGACTTGATTTTAACAAATAGGGAGGAACTCGTTGAGAATTTGAAAGTAGAAGGCAGCTTGGGTGAAAGTGATCATGAAATCATAGAGTTTGCAATTCTAAGGAAGGGTAGAAGGAAGTACAGCAAAATAGAGACAATGGATTTCAGGAAGGCGGATTTTGGTAAGCTCAGAGAGCTGATAGGTAAGGTCCCATGGGAATCAAGACTGAGGGGAAAAACAACTGAGGAGAGTTGGCAGTTTTTTAAAGGGACACTATTAAGGGCCCAAAAGCAAGCTATTCTGCTGGGTAGGAAAGATAGAAAACGTGGCAAAAGACCACCTTGGCTTAACCACGAGATCTTGCATGATCTAAAAAATAAAAAGGAGTCATATAAAAAATGGAAACTAGGACAGATTACAAAGGATGAATATAGGCAAACAACACAGGAATGCAGGGGCAAGATTAGAAAGGCAAAGGCACAAAATGAGCTCAAACTAGCTAAAGGAATAAAGGGAAACAAGAAGACTTTTTATCAATACATTAGAAGCAAGAGGAAGACCAAAGACAGGGTAGGCCCACTGCTCAGTGAGGAGGGAGAAACAGTAACAGGAAACTTGGAAATGGCAGAGATGCTTAATGACTTCTTTGTTTCAGTCTTCACCAAGAAATCTGAAGGAATGCCTAACATAGTGAATGCTAATGGGAAGGGGGTAGGTTTAGAAGATAAAATAAAAAAAGAACAAGTTAAAAATCACTTAGAAAAGTTAGATGCCTGCAAGTCACGAGGGCCTGATGAAATGCATCCTAGAACACTCAAGGAGCTGATAGAGGAGGTATCTGAGCCTCTAGCTATTATCTTTGGAAAATCATGGGAGACGGGAGAGATTCCAGAAGACTGGAAAAGGGCAAATATAGTGCCCATCTATAAAAAGGGAAATAAAAACAACCCAGGAAACTACAGACCAGTTAGTTTAACTTCTGTGCCAGGGAAGATAATGGAGCAAGTAATTAAGGAAATCATCTGCAAACACTTGGAAGGTGGTAAGGTGATAGGGAATAGCCAGCATGGATTTATAAAGAACAAATCATGTCAAACCAATCTGATAGCTTTCTTTGATAGGATAATGAGTCTTGTGGATAAGGGAGAAGCGGTGGATGTGGCATACCTAGACTTTAGTAAGGCATTTGATACGGTCTCGCATGATATTCTTATCAATAAACTAGGCAAATACAATTTAGATGGGGCTACTATAAGGTGGATGCATAACTGGCTGGATAACCGTACTCAGAGAGTCGTTATTAATGGTTCCCAATCCTGCTGGAAAAGTATAACAAGTGGGGTTCCGCAGGGGTCTGTTTTGGGACTGGCTCTGTTCAATATCTTCATCAACGACTTAGATATTGGCATAGAAAGTACGCTTATTAAGTTTGCAGATGATACCAAACTGGGAGGGATTGCAACTGCTTTGGAGGACAGGGTCA